AGAACTACTTACCGGCACCGGTCGTCCCTTCTTTACGACTGGAAGTCAGCAGACCTCTTGAGTGGTGAATGACCAGATCATGGCCCGCCACGCTGAGATCTAGAGTTGCCGCCGGCTCATCGATGAAACCAAGAGACTGAGAAGGAATATCTTGCGAAAAGACAACGAAGGCTTCTGCGTGATTTGATGAGTAACCTATCGATGATGACTTGTTTGCAGTCTTGCGACATGTTCCACATTGGGCGTACGCGAGAGCGAATCGCAACGACACAGCGATATGTTGAGCCGAGGACCAGCATGAGGGTGTGATTCGATGAGTACATTTGTGTACTCCAGGGCGTTTTACACACCTTCTTCAGGGTCCAGGATGGGCCCCGTTGCCAGAATCTCCGTGAGACTCCGCATCTTGGCAACGCTCAGGCGACAGCGGCCTGCGATTATCCGCTCGATCCTTGCACCTGCGTTAAGGTTGGCAACGGAGCGAAAGCGTCAAAAGGAGACAGCTGCGCGTCTTGGAAGAGTCTCCGGATTCCTTGGCCAGCTGCAGGCCGACTCCACTGCGTCTCACGACGACGTGAGGTCGAGCAGGTTTCCAACGCGAAGAATACGTCGACAGGGCACGACGGCGGGAGGCTGAGACGACCTGGCAGACCTTGCGATGTGTGCTGCGCTGTCGATCTTCAGTCGCATCTCGTTCGACAGAAAAGAAGTGGAGCAGCGGCTGGCCCCAGGTGCCCAGAGCTTGCGGTGGCTGAGTGAGGTCATCAAGAAGCTCGGCCACCCCAGCCAGGTCGTCGATTTAGCGACCGGGAAAGCATAACAAGCGCATAAGCTCCCAACACACCAACTTCATCACATCCGCCGTTCCCCGCTGGCGACGACACACGCTCCATATACCCTCTCGCTGCTTTTTGCACTTTTTGTGATACCCTTTGCCCTATACCCATACACATACCCACCCCCATCACACACGGTCGTCACTCTGGACAGCGCCCACCCCAGAGCCGCCAAGATGCCGCAAGACCTCAAGAAGCTGATGCCCCAGGCCAAGAACCACCGGGCGGGGCCCTACACGTGCGAAGCTGCGAATGCAGAGAAGATCGAGGGCGAGACGGTGCCGCGTCGTAACCTGGCCGCGAAAGACGGTCTGGTACTGAAGCCCCACGACAACGTAGAGACATTGTACGACGTGCTGCGACACGCAGCCGCCAAGTACGGCAATGCAAAGGCAGTCGGTGCGCGTCGCATCGTCAACATACATGAGGAGACCAAGAAGGTCAAGAAGATGGTCGATGGCAAGGAGCAGGAGGTCGACAAGAAGTGGCAGTACTTCGAGCTCAGCCCGTACAAGTACAAGAGCTTCGTCGAGTTTGAGAAGATGGCGCTCGCAGTAGGCTCGGGCCTGAAGTCGCTGGGCTTCAACCCGCAAGACAGGCTCCACCTGTTCGCCGCCACGAGCATGCAATGGCTGGCGTCCGCACACGGTAAGCAGTCGCGTGTATCCATACAAGAACCAGTAACTCATCATGCTTGCAGGTGCCATCTCCCAATCCATGGCCATTGTTACCGCATACGACACGCTGGGAGAAGAGGGTCTCAGGCATTCCATGCTTCAGACCAACGCAAAGGTCATGTTCACCGACCCTGAGCTGCTACCCAAGCTCGTCAACCCAATGAAGGAGGCCAAGGACGTCCAGGTCGTCGTGTACTGCACCAAGAACGACCCCAAGCAGAAGGACATTGATACCCTTACCCAGGCGCACCCGCACTTGAAGGTTATGAGCTTCGACGAGCTGGTCAAGTTGGGCGAGGAGAGCCCTGCGGAGCCTATCCCGCCCAAGGCCGACGATCTGGCCTGCATCATGTACACGTCTGGATCTACAGGCACCCCCAAGGGAGTCATGATCAAGCACCGCAACGTCATCGCTGCTAGTAAGTCTCCTGCTGCAAACACCCAAACAAAGTACTGACCTCTTCCAGTTGCTGGTGTCGATGTTATTGTAGGCAAGTACCTCGGACCGGGCGACGTTCTCATCACCTACCTCCCCGCCGCGCATATCCTCGAGTTCGTATTCGAGAACGCCGTGCTCTACTGGGGTGGTACCATGGGTTACGGAACCATCAGGACGCTCTCGGACCAGTCCGTGCGCAACTGCGCTGGTGATATCCGTGAGCTGAAGCCAACGGTCATGGTCGGTGTACCGCAGGTGTGGGAGACCATCAAGAAGGGCATCGTCAACAAGGTTGAGGCGGGAGGCGCTGTCAAGAGCAACATGTTCTGGGGAGCCTTCGCCGCCAAGGGCTTCCTCCTTGGTTCTGGACTGCCAGGTAGTGGTATTCTCGATGCCATTGTCTTCAACAAGGTCAAGGAAGCCACCGGAGGTAGACTTCGAATCTGCTTGAACGGTGGTGGACCCATCTCAAAGGAGACGCAGCGCTTCATCTCCATTGCCATCACACCCATGATCAGCGGATACGGTCTGACCGAAACCTGCGCCATGGGTGCGCTTATGGACCCCTTGGCCTGGAACGAGCACGCCCTCGGTGAGATGCCTGCTTCAATCGAGATGAAGCTTGTCGACTTCGCGGATGCCGGCTACTTCTCCACCAACAACCCGCCTCAGGGAGAAATCTGGATCCGTGGCGGTGGTGTTGTAGACGGTTACCTGGACATGCCCGAGGAGACCAAGGAGGCCTTCACCGACGACGGATGGTTCAAGACTGGTGACGTTGGAGAGTTCAACGCCAACGGTGAAGTCCGCATCATTGACCGCAAGAAGAACTTGGTCAAGACACTCGCTGGAGAGTACATTGCGCTCGAGAAGCTCGAGTCTGTCTACCGCTCCGCACCCATTGTCGCAAACATCTGCGTCTACGCTGCGGAAGATCGCCAGAAGCCTGTCGCGATCATCGTGCCCACCGAACCGCAACTGAAGAAGATCGCCGCCGCAGAGGGTGTCCAGGGTGACCACCTCGAGGAACTTGTTCACGACAAGAAGATCAATTCTGCTGTGCTCAAGCAATTGCAGCAGGCTGGCCAAAAGGGCGGTCTGGCTGGATTCGAGATGATTGAGGGTGTTGTGCTAGCAGACGAGGAGTGGACACCACAGAACGTAAGTATCTTTGTGACATGGAAGAAAGTCTACAAAGTGCTGACATTACAACAGGGCCTCACCACTGCCGCACAGAAGCTCAACCGTAAAGGTATCTTGAAGCAGTACCAGAAGGAAGTTGACCAGGCCTACGGCAAGTCGTCTTAAAGACGTGTTGTCAGAAGCAAACAGTTGAAGGACATTTCACGTGATCCTTGAACAACATGCTTGGCATCGTTGCAAATTTCCTATGACTATATGAATTGAGTTGGCGGAATATCCTCTTCCTTAGTATGGAGAAAGCTATGTAGTTATATCCTTGTTGCTATAGCACGGCGCAGGGGTCCTAGTTAAATGCTTATTCTGTGAGAATCTTGATCCCAGAAATTTGTCTCTTTACATATTGATAGATCGCGAAAAAGGTATTCCCTTGCGCATTTAGACATTACATCGACGTGCAGTGGTGCTCGACGAAAGCACCCACTCCCATGCTGCTCCGCAGCGTCTCACATGGTTGAGATACGAGTTGACTGGTTATGTGGTTGAGAAGACAGGTCCACCAAGCGGATAGCTTACTGCTTCTTAGCGTCCCTCTCAGCCTTTCGCAGGGCACGCTTCCGGATGCTCTCGTGCATGCCCCTGTTCACCTTGACAACAGTATCCGAGCGCTCACCCAAGAAGCGCGAAAGGAACCAGTGCATGAGTCCGTGGCTCCAGTACGGTGTGCTCGTGAAAGCTACGCCTTGTGCACCTCCACTCCTTCCAATCTTGCTTAGTGTAGCGTTTACGAATTGCTTGGGGTTCGGAACGAGTGCAGACGTCTTGCGGATCTTGGACATGGCCGTGGTGACGAGGTGAGACTGGACACATTGGACGTATACGCCGTGGGGCTCGAGTTCGGAAGCCAGCGCGGTGGACCATTGTTGTAGGAAAGCCTTGCTGCCGGAGTAGGTCGCGAGGAGAGGTGTAGGGAAGAAGCCGCCAAAGGAGGCCATGGTGAGGACGAGTCCACGCTTGCGAGACACCATCCCGGGGGTGACGAGCTGTGTGACACGGAGAGTAGCCATGCAGTTGATCATGATGATGTCGTTCATCTCCTGCTTGGGTGTCTCGACGAATGGTACTGGAATGCTGTGGCTCAAGCCAACATTGTTGACTAGTATGCTGACGTCGAGACCGTCAATGAGCTTCTTCATATTGTTGTAGTCGGCATCTTTGTTCTGCGCAAAGTCCATAGCCAGCGTCTTGACGGCGATCTTAGGGCCATACTTGGACGTGATGTCGGCGGAGAGGGAGTCGAGCTTCGATTGCGTACGCGAAACGAGGATGAGGTTGTAACCCTTGGCCGCGAGGGAGAGGGCGAACTCCTTGCCAATGCCGTCAGAGGCACCAGTTATGAGGGCCCAGGTGCCGCGGGGTCCGAATGTGCTGAGCTGGTGGGGGTTAGAGATATCCGGGAGGAGTCAAGAATGCTTGGAGGGGCATACAGATTTACCTGGCAGCACAAACAAGCTGAGAAGAACTCGAATAGTGCTAATGACAGGTGCTGCGAAAGATGCAACGCCTACGAGCAGGAAGCCATAGACAGCAGCCTGCACGAACGAGTTGCTTGCGTCGATGTGAACACCGAACGGCTCGAGTATGCCTGCCATGGAGAGCAAATATGGGAGCGGCCAGAGATTGGGTTGGTAAAGCTAAGGAGCAGTTGCAAGCGGATGCAGCATTGAAGTTCGCACACTCCGTTAGCCCTCGCGACAATCTCGCGGCTTCGCTCTGGGCCCTGCCGAGGCTGGCCACTAGGGTCGCGCTAGTCCTCGGCACCGGAGGAACCTTTCTCCACACAAGCGATCGAATATTGCGATCCTAGAGCAACACCGAAAGCTCGACAATACCACCCGACCCGCAACCATGGCGACCGAACTCACGTACGTTGTGCGATACTGCGAATACTCTCGACAAATACTGATTGCGAAATAGTGTCCAGTCGGAGCGCGCTTTCCAGAAGCAGGTACTACACGCCCATTTCGCGAGCCCCCAGCACATCCGATACTAATGCGATGCGATAGCCTCACATCTTCCTCAACCACAAGGTCGGTGGACCCCGCAAGAACACCCGCGCCAGGAGATGGTACAAGGACGTTGGTCTGGGCTTCCGTACGCCCAAGACCGCCATTGAGGGTACCTACATCGACAAGAAGTGCCCATTCACCGGCATGGTCTCCATCCGTGGCCGTATCCTTACCGGAACTGTCATGTCCACCAAGATGCACCGTACGTGTTAGCCCAATCCTCGGAGCGCGCACACCAGGCCGCAACAGGAATATCAGAAAGAAATGGGCAACAAGAACTAACAGAATGCAGGCACCTTGATTATCCGCCGTGAATACCTTCACTTCATCCCCAAGTACTCCCGTTACGAGAAGCGCCACAAGAACCTCGCCGCACACGTCTCCCCCGCTTTCCGTGTCGAGCCCGGTGACCAGGTCGTCGTTGGCCAGTGCAGGCCCCTCTCCAAGACCGTCCGCTTCAACGTCCTCCGTGTCCTCCCCCGAAAGGGAAAGGCTGCTAAGCAGTTCAACAAGTTCTAAGTGCATAGAAAAGGGATGGTGTAACGGTTCATGATCAGCAACGGAAAGAAACTTGGTTGAGGCGGAGTGTGACGGCTTTCGATATAGTCGTCAAAATTCGGCATCAAGGATTGAGGTATCGGAGTCCCATGGGCCATGTATGTTTCTTCAGCTACGATCAATGAAAGTCCTCGAGTGGTCAAACAAGCCCCGAGGCGGGTCAAAAGTCCATTGCTGTTCATGCTGCAGCGTGATGGATCTTGGTACATGTGTTTGCATTGGGAGCCCTGGCGATTAGTGTCTGCATAACATCACGTCTTCCTGTACTATGACATGTCCCTGGTTCAAGTTGTGAGAAGAGACACCTAATGAACGCGTCTTTGTACACATTAACATTACATCACTACCTCCATTTCGATACCCAATACTCCCCAGCCCCCCACGCTAGGCCTTGACGTAGAAATCCCACTGCATCCACATCCAGATCAAACTTGAAGTTGCGACTATCACCGGTCCAGCCAATGGTTTGCCCCATCTTGTAGTTCCATACACAAACCATTCACTCATGAAGTGTCCCCAGGCTATAGCATAAGTCCACAAAGCCAATTGATAGAAGCTCGGATTGTTGATGTTGTATGCGGCGTAAAGTCGAACCATGCCCGTCAAGAAAGTCCATGTTCCGAATGTGCGCGACGAGAGAGCGGTTACGTGTTTCGGCGTGGTAGGGGGCGGATCAATTGCTGTAGGGTTGTAGACGCGCGAAGTGAAGGAGAGCGTGGCGTAGCATTGGAGGCTGTTGCCAACAGAGACTATGGCGACCTGTAAGAATTGTTAGTTTGTGTTACGATGAGAGACTGCATGGAAATGACAATCGCAAGCGCGGAGAACAGGACATACAAATAGAAGCCATTTGGGCAGTAAGCCTTCCGCTTGAGGAAGATAGGATTGTAGCGCGTCCATAATGGCGAGCAATTGGTTGCTTGGTCAGTGAGTAGAGTCGTCGACGCGTGCGCACGTCGAGTGTTGTATTTGGCAAATGTTCGGCCTTCTGTAGAACCAGCGGCATCTAAGGGTCTTGGCCTGTGCTCGTGGCGGAGGTATGCCTGGAATCATACCTCTGCCCATGGCATAGACCTATTACAACAGCATAACAGGAAACGCAGCTTATACCTTTAGCGTCTGATTATAACTGACATTTTTGGTGCAAGGGCGATGATCGTAGACGTGATGATGAGGTGGATGTTCCTAAGAGGCTAACCAAAGGTGTACGACGTGCCTCCCATGTTAGGTCAGCTGTGTGACAGTAGCTGAATACAACGAGGTCACCAGAAGCAGTAACGACGCGAGATAAGACCATGCACTGCAAAGTCATTCAAATTTCTCTCCAAAAGACAAGGGTGCCCGACACCAGATGGCACTGAGTGAGATATGTTATCGATAAGGCACCTTGAGAAAATGGCGCTGTTGATCATTCAATATGTTTCATCTCAGACCACAATGTCTATTGTCAATGACTACATTTCTCATGCATGTTCAACTTGCTGCAGCTGACCATGCGCATCTCGTTACAAAGCGGTCCGAACGACAATGACGTTGAAGATGACGCGAGCCACCCTCTTACTGGAGCCGCTGACAGGGACGAAGAAGCCCATCTGTTGACAAGAGAAGAGATGGACTTCGAAGACAACGCGTTGCCTGCGCGTAGTGGCCGACGTACTTTCCTTCGCTTCTTGCGCGGTCCAGAGCCACCTCGCATTCAGTCCATTCAGCCAGTCTTCCCAGCCATCCAAGCGTATCCGGCCCAATGGACGGAAGCACACGGGTTCAATAAACCCATCTGGCTCTTTGCTGTGCTACTGCTATGGCTTGTTATATTTGTGTGGTTTCTCACTGCACAACTACCGCTCCGCGATGGGGATGGCAATAGCGTGATCAACCTCGATTGCGTAGACACGCTCTGGAAACGAAAGAACGAATGCGGAATCGATGGGATCGATTGCCGCCCTTTCAGCAACCATTCATTCGCCTTCCGGTGTCCAGCGAAGTGCGGCGACGTGCAGATCTTGAATCCGCACATTGTTGGACCTCTCGAAGTAAACTACCGACCGCTTGTCATCGGTACGGGATTTTACCGTGGAGACAGTTTCATCTGCGGATCCGCGATCCATGCTGGCATTGTGGATGGCCGGAAAGGTGGTAAGGAACTGCCCGTACGAACTGTGTGTAAGACATATACTGACATGTTATCTTCATCCTCGTAGGCTCTGGTCGGATTACTCTCGTTGGTGAGCATGACAGTTTCGCCAGTACTAAGCGACACGGCATCGAATCCTTGCCTTTCGATTCGTACTTCCCGCTTGCCTTTTCCGTAGGCTATGACGATAGCTTCCACTCCGCTTCCGACCCTCGGTCAGCCTTGCTTCCTGTTTCGCTCCTCGTCACTGCTGCGCTTGCTATCTTCACCACGTCACCCAAGATCTTCTTTGCGATCTTCAGCCTTGTTTTTGCCCACGTGAGCTTTGTTTCCGACCCACCGTCGGCGTCCTCCCGAAACACTACTGTTCTTCCAGATCATCTGTCCATGTTCGCGAAGCGACTTTTGCCGGCAATGTTTGTGGCCGTTGTCATATACTCCACTACCGTGAAGAGGTCATTACTTGGCATGACTGCTCATTTTGAGAAAGCACTCTTCTGGCTTGGCGGTGGATGGGTCGGAGCACTTTCAAACTATACTTTTGATTGGATACCGATATCTCGACTTACCTCGCACGATCTGGAACAACAACCCGGGGCAAAGCTAGCCTTGGCAATCATCGTTCTGGTGCTGGTGGTCATTATTGTAGGGCAAGTATATTTCTTCTGGCTCGAAGGCCGCCTGCTCCGCTACCTCAGCTTGTATGCACTTTTCATTCTTGGAATCATTGTCTGCTTGACTATCCCAGGCGTAAATCTAAGGATCCACCATTACATCCTCGCGATATTATTGCTGCCGGGCACGAGTCTGCAAACACGACCGTCTTTACTGTACCAAGGCATTCTGTTGGGTCTTTTCGTCAATGGAATAGCGCGCTGGGACTTTGACTCTGTCTTGCAGACTTCTGCTGCACTTCGCGCTGATGCGAAGTTTAACTCCGTGGTTCCCAAGATAGCGGACGTCACCGTCAATTTTGGTACCGAGGCGCTGGTCGCGACATTTCGGTATGAAGCACCCCCGGTCGGGATTGACGGCATAAGTATCTTAGTAAATGATGTTGAGCGGGACCGCGCGTTCTACGATGATGGGCTAGGTGGAGCTTCTTTTGAGTGGCGCAGGCCACTTGATAGTGGAATCAACGAGTACTTCCGGTGGGCTTATGTAAGAGATGGGAGAACTTTGGATTATACCAGGCCAGGTACATTATCTGGCAACGGCACGTGGATTCTCGGAGAGCCGGTGGAGAAGATATGAGTGCAGCTGGCTGCACGGTTGCAATTATAAGGATACATCGCGTCTAGGCTCATGTGCCTGGGGTGTGGTGGAGGCCCACGAGGTTCGTTGATTGGAGAATATGAGCTTTTACGATCACAAGAACATGTCAGGGTCTGGTCGTTGTTATCGCTCACATCCGAAGACCTGTCATTTGCTGTAGGCGACACCGGACCATGGTATCAGTTCCAAATACCCCACACTATTCGTCACGAAGCCCGCATCACTATTAGCTTCAACCACAAGACAGATACGGTCTGAGGCTTCTCCGTAGCCCATATCTCTTCATCCAACCCTTTTCTCTTCCGGCTCATACTCACTCATCCATTCCTTCCAATCCTCACCACCATTCAAGATGGTAAGTCACAGTTGTTCAGTTCTGCAGCCATACCGCACATTTTCCGTTCAAATCAGAGTTTCAATCTCCTGGACAAGCCGCGATACAAGATCTGTATCCAAGCAGCGAGTTCGGCGCTACATGCGCGATTCCATGAGCTATACTGACCATGCCACAGCACTATACACTCATCGCTTCGACGGCTGCACTTTCTGCACTGGTTCCGCGCCAGATGCGAAACTGCCCCGCTATACCTACATGCCCTCGCTGGAACGGTTGCGTATCTACTTCCACCAACGGTGCTGTATTCCAGCTCACCTGTGCGACCGACTACAACGGCCCCATCATCGACTCCGCCCAGGTACGTTAGAATCCAGAGGAAGACCAGAATACTATTCACACCTTTAAAGGCCGATGTATTCGTCGACTGCGCAGATGCTTGCTCTCGACACAAGGATTGCGTCGCATTCAACATGAAGGGAAGCTTCTGCTACCTTCTGGGCAACCCCAAGGGTACTGCCCGGCCAGCGTAAGTTTGTCTCTAACACGTCCATCTATTGCCAACAACTTTCCAACTCATCCTGCAGAACCAACGTGTCCACCGGCAATCAGCTCAAGGGCCCGACCATCGCAGAGCCCGCGCCTGGCTCCTCGACATGTACCGACGTCATCGACTGCCCTACCGATGACAAGTGCAGGTACACCACTGCGAACCAGAAGCCGTTCATTGCACAGTGCAACTGGGACTACTATGGTGGCGACATTGCCTACAAGTCAACCGAGTCCATGACCAAGTGTGTGGACGTGTGTTCTGTTACCACAGGATGCGTTGCCGTTACTTGGTTTGACCAGAACTGCTACCTCAAGAACAACAACACCAACATGATCTACAACAACAATGTTGATAGTAAGCCATTTGTGCAATCGCGAGTTTGATCTCCGGGCTAACGCATGTTTAGGTGTTCATCTTGAAAACTAGGCTTCTCATCTCTGAGACAAGCTGGATGCCATCAACGGTGCACATCATCACTGGATCTGTCACCACCATGTCGTGGTGTTGAAGTGGACGTATATGGGGTTTTTCAGGCCAGAATGTTGCATGAAATGCCGCATATCGGCCCGTAGGCTGTTGCTCCAATCGAGCATTCAATATCACGAATAACCCCTCGTTTCAGTTTCACCTTGCGAAAGTAGTTTCGATGATTGCGTAATTCTTTTGTATTGCGTACACGAGCTAGCTTCACACATCTTCCTCTAGTGGCGCGCCTCGCTTACGGTACCTACCTATGCTTGACCGGCAACACAGCCCGAACTTGGCATGGTAGGCTGTGTTCGACACCAACCAACAAAACCCAGCTATTTTCCCCTTGAGTCGATCTTCGAAATAGTCGAGGAATTGCGGGGTGATCATCAGGCTGAGACGTCAAGTGCACAGATACGGGACCTGCGTTGAAGGTACGCGCCACGATAAGGCGACCCATGTGTTGATCAACTTTCTCTTTTGCGCCTTGCTACGTAGAGGTACTTATAGTGAGAAGACATCTACTCAACCTCGCATCTCATTTTTTTAGTATTGATATATTGCTTTCCCGAGATCCTTCCACAGCTTCAGCTACGCGTTACCAAAGTACCTCTAAACATGGGCGTCCTAGCATCTTTCACTCGTCCTAAAAGTCCAATTTGGCAAGGACCTCAACGCTTCCATCACGATGTCTTTCTCGTAAAGGCATTTATTCTTTTTGTCTTTATCATCATCGTCATATCCCACAATGCTTCCTTCAAGTACGGATTTAACGATCGCGACAACGACCCCCGTTGGCAAAGCTATGCGTAAGTCACAGCACATGGTCTTCCCACTTACGATCGTTTCAAGAGCCACACCGATCGAACAAAGCGCATACTAACTGGGTATCTAGAAATGATTGGTTCTTCCGCACAGGGTTCGCAATGATCCCAGATACCATTTACACCATCTTTAGCCTCGTGGCTATACCCTCTTCAGCCTCCGCACCAAATTTGTTCCATCCCATCCTTACTCTCACTGTATCTTTGGTCATGGTGTGTCTTTATGGGGCCATCTGCTTTTTACACACGCTCATCATCTACAATGATGAGAGTAACACCTACAACAAGTCGTATTGGGATAGCCTTGGATACGCTGAGGTGGGATTCCAGGGGTTACTAGGCCTTTTACATGCGGGAATGGCTCTACTGAGTTGCATCGCTGTGCATCAGTGGAGGAGGTCGAAGAAGGGTAAGGGGGCTGGTTATACTGCGGATGTGGAGTTGACGCCTTCGACCAAGGATGGTAGGGCCAGTGGTTTGAGTTAGATGGTCAGGTAGAAGAAGAGGGGACATTGTTTGATGTGCTTGCTGTTAGCGGGTTTCGCGGGTTGATCGCGCCGGCACCATCAAAGGGAACGAAAATGAGTAATAATGAGGGGAACTTAGACTACATATATTTATGTAGAGCAATAATGTATAATGCGTCCCAGTTTCTGCAATGTCAAAGAGACTTCAAAGTGGGAGTGGATGACGCCTTATCTCCATGATCGCCGTTGATAGCACCCCACTAACGCTATGGTGACTCAACCAACCACAACTCATATAAAACACACGACATCTGCAAGAGCGCCAATGTAGCCTGTTCAGCTGTACTCTATTCCGATGGCACTCCAAAGCCTTCTTGTTGGCGCGATAGCAGCTCATCCCATGACAACCTTGTTCTTCACGCCTTTCCTGCTTGTATTGATCCGATCAGTATATCGCATCTACTTTCACCCTCTCTCCCGCATTCCTGGACCCATTCTACCTAAGCTGACCAGCATCTTTCTTCACTACCACGCCTACATCGGAGACGAAGCAAGCACTATCCACAAACTCCACGAACAATACGGCCCGTATGTCCGAGTCTCACCGAATGAAGTCGATATAAGCGACGCGGATGCTATACCCGCAATCTACGTATCTAAAGGAGGCTTTCCGAAAGCGGCGTGCTACGCAAATTTCGACATTGATGGCCACAAGACTATTTTCTCGACCATCGATACAGACTACAGGAGCCCAAGAGCGAAAGCTGTGGTCCCGCTATTCTCAACAAAAGCATTGAGAGAAAATGAGAGAGCGATTTGGGGATGTGTCGATCGCATGGTGGAGCGATTGAGGGACGAAGCCATGACAAAGCGGCCTGTCAACGTGCTCAACTTGACGCGAAGCCTGGCTGTGGACGCAGTATCTACGCACCTGTTCCGGGAGAATTACGATGGGGTCAGCGAACGTGGTCCAGTGCTCAGCGTGAGCGCGTTCGTGGACGCATTTGTCGCTGTCGGTCGCTTCTTCTACCTCCCAAATCTCGCTTTCACGTGGCTGGAATGGGCCGTTGCCAAATGGTTGCCTGATCCAGAGACTGATGATAGCATGATGCTTGTTGATAAGTTCATCGGCACACTAGTGGCGAACACCTCCGAGAAGTCAACGACATACCCCGGGCGTCTACTCGCTGCGGGACTCAGCGACTCCGAAGTTAGGGCACAGTGCAAAGATCTCATCTTCGCAGGAACAGACTCTACGGGGATGAACTTGGCAACGATCATGCGCAATCTGGCGTTGTACCCAGATATGTATGAGAGATTAAGGGAAGAGGTCAAGAACAACATTGCCCTTGGTCCAGATGCACAGGACGTTCAAGCGCTACCCTATCTCAACGCTATTGTCAAAGAAGGCCTCCGAATCAGCATGGCAAATCCTACGCGCTTGCCTCATACCGTCCCTGCCGGAGGTTGGAATTTCAAAAACACCTACTTCCCAGCTGGTTCCATTGTCGGTTGCTCAGCCTATGAGCTGCACTTCAACCCGGACATCTTTCCCTCACCAAGAAGCTTCCAGCCTGAAAGATGGCTGAACCCAACAGAAGCTATGTCGAAATACTGGTTCGCATTCGGCGTAGGGAGCAGAGCGTGCATCGCCAGAAACTTGGCAACCATGGAATTACAATTCGCGACGGAGAGGCTAGGCAGAAGTGGGGTTCTTGATGGTGCAAGTGTAGTACAGAATGATGTCGAGATCTACGAGTGGTTCAATTCGAAAGTCAAGGGCGAGAGAATTGACTTGGTCTGGGGTTGAGTGAGATGGCTCTCCAATCCCCTTGACTAGATGAAGTTTCGACTTAGGAAAAGGGCATGAATTACAAAAATGAGAACAAGGGATGTACACTTGTATCGTATGTCCGGTTTGTATGCGTCCTGGGAGCTTTTATGACAGGCATTCTGCCAGGTCTTATGTCACCCAGTGCCGATTGTAAGTGTATTGGTCAATTGCATGCACGCTTCCAATGTAGGACAGTGTCACCGAAGCTATCATGAGTCGAGTGAGCGGTCTCTCTGAAAACGACTGATCATCGCGGACTCCATCCGAAAGTTGCGAAGCAAGTAGTGAGAACATGCGACGAGTGAGCATACATCAACAAGGAATCAAGTATCTCAAAAACTAAGAGGATGTAATGTATTCAGAAGAAGCTACAAACTACTAACGCGGAGCAACAAAGGGGAAGAGAAACAACAGGGGAAAGAACACAGCAGAAGTCAGCGCAAGCTCACACTAGCGTGAAACGGAGCGACGCGATCAACGAAGCGTGCAAAAAGACAGCAGAGCCAAAAGCGACAATACAGCTACCTCATCGGTTGGCGGCATCGCAGGATGGCTCGCTTCAGTCGGCACGAAGAGAAATGCCCGGCGGAATCGATTCAAGGACGGCACTTCTCGCCTTTCTCGAAGCACAACTCGACAACCTCGCGCGCGCCGTTGTGGAAGCACTTCTTCTTGATGCCGCAGGTGAACTGCCAGTCGCACATCTGGGAGGAGTTAGTCGACGGACCAGACCAATGAAGATGATGCAACATTGCAGGGGGTTGGTGGGCAAGGCAGTGACTTACGTTGCAAGACTCATCACCGGACTCGCACAGATAGCAATCCTCATCGGCAAAGGAAAAGTCTGGCCGGGTTCCGTTGGAGATTGCCGGCTGCAAATGGGTGGTCGTTGTGTTGGAAGTAGGGGCGTCATCGCCAGCGAGCACCAGAAGCATCGCGGCGGAGCCAAGGGAATCGCCGGAAGCCATGGACGTGTCGTATGCTTTCGACGCCTCGGCGTCCTCTAGGAGGCTTATGCAGATCTCCGCTTCGCTGAGAGGGTCTTTGCACAGGAAGTGCTCACAGCCTTGGTCTTCGTCGCAAGCGAAATCGCACCCCTGTTTGTAGCGGAGGTCAGTCAGAAGTTCTACGAGCATGCGACGGACTGGTGCTTCAACTTACATCGCATTCCGCGTTACCGTCGCAAGAGTCGCACATCGGCTTGGCGATAATGGTATCGCGGGGAGACATAGGCGCAGGGGTTTGGTTGGCACGAACTGATCTGGCTACGGTGTGGGTCGCGGTCGTGATCACAGTGACGGGAATCTCGAGCACGTGTGGTGAGCGCGAAGCAGTAACAGTTGGTGGCTGGAGCATGATGGTGGACGCTGGATCATGGTAGTGATAGGTGACAATGGAAGTTGTGCCTGGCTGCTGGTAGACGACAGTAGAAGCTGGGTTCTGTACGGTGACAATGGATGTGGTGCCTGGTTGCTGGTAGATTACGGTGGAAGCCGGCTTCTCCACAGTGACGGTATTAATCTGAATCTGAGGGGCTGCCACGACGACAGTGGTAGTCTGAACCCGAGGAGCTGTCATGACGACAGTGGTGGTCTGAACCTGAGGAGCTGTCACGACGACAGTGGTGATCTGTGGACGCTGAGCAACAACTGTCACAGTGCTTGTCTGTGGACGCTGAGAAATAACTGTCACGGTTTTGGTCTGTGGACGCTGAGTAACCACTGTCACAGTACTGGTTACTACAGGTATCGAAGTAGTGGTCGTAGTGCATGGGGAGCTCTGAGGAGCTACGACAACAGTAGTGGTACTGGTAAGAGGGGCGGACACGGTGACGGTGACGACTGGCGAGGACGTGGGGCCAACGACGGTCGAAATGACCACTGTCTCGGTGGTAGTTGTGGTCTCGCTGGGTCCGGAGGCAGAGACGTTGAAGCCCGGGGGCTGCCATTTGGAACGGACGCTCATGCACACCGTCATGTGAGTGGCTAAGTTGTTGCAAAGGTACTTGTCGCACTCTGCGCAGTCGGCGTGGCATTCCTGAGAAAAGATAAGTTAGCAAGCTGAGTACAGGCAAGAAACCTGGGACGAATTAACGTACTGGGCAAGTTTGGTCATTGCAAGGGAAGCATTCCGACTGCTTGAAGGCAGTGCGACGAGTAGGTGACTGATCATCGCCATCGTTGGAGACTAGCTCATCGCGAGGGGCCAGTCCAGTGTGCGTCGGGGGTCCGGCAGTACGAGCAAGCGTGACGGTAGTGGTGATGTCGGAAATCGACGCCTCAGAAGTAGGCATGGCGGTCACAGTGACGACAGAAGTGCTGATGGTGGTCTCGAGGATGGTGGCTGTCACTGTGTGATTGCGGATGACGTCGGCAAGCTCGGGTTGGATGTCGAAGCAGCCACGGGATTTCAAAAATGCGTCGTAACATTGGTAATGGTCACAGTCCCGACAATCGAAACTGTAAGACGTGCAATACTACCAGACAGAACGTCAGCAAAGATCATCCTATTCCGAAAGAAGAGGACATAAGGAAGACTTACGTCGCAAGGGTCCTCAGTTGAGCACTGCTTGCACGAGGCTTCCGACAGAGCAATGGTACGAGGAGACACTGAGTTGGTGTTGCCAACAGCCACGTCGCCTCCCTGGTAGTAGGAGCAGTAGTTGTTCTTGTCGCAGCCAATGTGCCAGTTTCCGTCCACGACGGGAGTGTGTTGGGCTGGGACAGCATCGACAGGGTCCTCAATGGAACTTGGCTTGACTGCCAGGCCGGCAGGCGTAGCGGCACTGAAGGCGATGAAGCCAGCGATGACACTGGTGGTGAGACGCATGGCGTAGGTCGTGGTTGGAGTAACCAAGCTCTGCCTGCGGAATGCGTTGATGGGGTGGGCTCAGGTATGGATGATGGATGGATGAGCTGGGTAGAAGAGTTGCTGGTAGAGTTGCTGGGCTGAGTTGCGATGTGAGAGAGAAATGGAGGATGGAGACCCGAGGACGGGATTATATACTCATGCACGTAGCTTGTAGACGGGCAGCAGCAGTGAGGTGCTGCTGCTTCATGGTGTGTTGATGTTTACTGTGGTTGTAGATGGAAGAAGGTGGAACATGCTGAACCTGACGACGACGCTACTCCAAAGACAGCAAGGCCGACTCCTACACGTGGTAGTCAGAGAAGTCTCGAGTCTCCTCGTTGGAGAAGCGGCCAGTGCCTTGATCTTGCGGCCTCTACTACATGCATCGATAGGCCAGGTACCCAAACATCGTCCGCGGGATGGGCATGCTGCAACAATAGTTGGAACGGCTAATACAAGTGCTGAAGGAGAAGTATTGTCCTTCGAGTGTGGCTGCATCCTCTACAGCCTATGTCCTGTTCATGTCGGGTAGTAGGCGTCGGCGGACGTGCTCCTTCGTGATGAGCGTGGTGTCAGCAGCTCGGAAAGAGCGTATGGGCAGCCTGGGAACTGCATGTAGCATGACACAGCCTTGGAAGGGGTGAATCGATGCACTACGAGCGTATGAGTGTGTCCATGTATTAAAGTCATGCTGCCTGGTTGCTGTGGGCTTGCGCTGCCATGTAAATGTTTTGGTAATGCTGAAGTCTTGTGGCACGCGATGGAAAGGATGACGTTCATTGAGTCTAATGGAGTGGAAGCTGGCCGGGAGTCGCGAGATGGCTGCAGCCAATCAGGCAAGGGGCTGACGTAGCGCGTCAAGCTCCGTGGGGAAGGCGCGACGGTGGGTCAACTGCGACTCCATAGCTACCAGCGACTGCGAAACGACGCATCCAGACCTGAGCGCCCTGTTGGTCATGATGGACCTCTCGACGCTTGGGCGTGCCCCTCAGTGGCTCTCGTCCGCTCCTTCACTTATGGTTCTGCTCCACGTTGAAGCGTTTCTGGCTACACAAACGCCTGCAAGCCCCGCGCAGCCCACTGCAGGCAACTGCGGCACCAACTTTACTTGAACCCTGATCTCGCCCGTATTCTCTCTCTAGTTTGCTGCCAATCCCGCTCGCAAGCCTCTCTACCTTGCATCTCCCTGCGCAGCTCATTCTACAAAACTCACGCGCGACCAACTGCCCGCCATGACCAACGACAAGGCTGCACCCGCCTTCATGGACCTCCCGCTCGAGGTGCGACACTCCATTTTCGAGCATGTGGCCGCGCGCGACGTCAAGCCTAAGAAGCTGCTCCGCTACTGGTTCGAGAAGAAAGAGGTCAAGGAACTCGTTGCCCAAGACGCCATTGACAACCCCAACGGTCCCACCCCGCGCGTCGTATACGCCAACGACTACGATGATTACGATGACGAGAGTGCTGTAAGCGACCACAACGGTGACGAGGACGATCAAGAAGAGAACGAAGATGCCGCGGAGGACAGCGAAAACGAGGACGAGGACGAAGACGAAGATGGAAATGACGAAGGAGCAGAGCAGGAAGATGGCAATGATGAGGATGAAGCTGAAGATGAGTCTGAGTCTGACTTGGACGGCGAAGATGAGGACGATGAGGTAGAAGGAGCTGTCGCCGGCGCGCACGATACCCAGTCGGCAACTGCTAGCGTCCACGTTCCAGCCCAAGCTACGGCTCAAGTTGACCCCGACCACCACTCCGAAGACGGGATGGCAGCGGAAGAACCTGGACAAGGACATGCCGGTGAGGGTGACAGCGAGGATGAGGGCGACAACGGCGAAGAGACCGAGGGTGCCCAGCTACACAATGACGAAGAGGCCGAAGGCGATAGCGAGGGCGACGAAGATCTGACTGATGACGGCGGCAACGCTGCTGCTACAGTCGTTGCAGCTCAGCATCCTCCTCCCCCAGCACCCGTATTCCGACCCCATAACAAGTGGCGCCACATACCGAACTTCATGCGCATCACTCACTGTCCTCCGCCGGTCCAGCTCCTGCTGGCCTCCCGCCAGCTGAACAACGAGGCAAAGAACTGGTTCTACGATGTAGCTGTTCTACGTATCGACGCCACTGGTAGCTTCGCCCACACGTCTTTCTTCGAAGAGGCAAGTCATTTTCCTGTGTGAATTAACGTGTGACATTTACTGACTTCGTACACCAATGTTCAGGCTTTCAGCCAGATCACCGACGCTGCCTTTTCTCCTATGGAGAACATTCGAAAGGTTAATATAACTTTCGTTTGGGATTCAGCCTGGATCCGCGCCGACACTACCGACTCCATCGAGGCCATCTTCCCTGCCCTTCTTCGCCAGCGCTCCAATTTCGTATTCGAGATCCTGTTGAAGGCGCCAGACTTGCGAGAGGTCGTCATTCATTGGTAAGTCAGCCCAAGGTTCGATTTACTTTCGAACAATCACTAACGTTGCGCTCCTAAGGCACGACTCCATTCAAGACGACGAGAGCGCTAACCTCATGCTCGACAATCTTGCACCCTTCCATACATTGGGCGCTACCGTCAACATCATCGAGCACTACATCGCGGCGGACGCCAAGCCCAAAAAGCGTAGTATCGCTGGCAAGCGTCGCGTCGAGTTCCATAACATACTTGACATGGGTCTTGATCGGCTCTTCTAAGATGCGATGCTTGGCACCGTCGTACGGCGAAAACTCGGTTATAATCTCGTATTTCTGAAGAAGGCAGCCATATGTGGATGTGATCGAGGATAGCTTTCCTTTTCCATGAACTTTCGCCCCAACAAGCCGGGACTTTACGTCCTAGTGCCTTAGCCTGCACATGCCATCGACTCTTGCGGTTACCGTGCATCGATCCATGGTTCCGAATGCGCAGTGTTAGTGGGCTGCAGGGTTCAAGTATCCGAAAGTAGGCCTTCGGAAATTCCAAGATACCTCATTACACTCTTTCACAATCTCTCTTATCTTTTGTGCTCTACGAATGAAGTGTTTGCTAACATCGCCACCACCAGCTCAAATTTGAAAAACTGCGTGGAACACACGTTCTAGATTGTACCTCTCTACGTCCTTCTTTTCACAATTGTTATCCGCGGTTCTCGGACAGGCGCATATGATCGCCGTTAGGTTACGGCTCACGAATGCGGGGAAAGAACACCTGATGTGCTATTCACCACCACCATGGCTGATAGCGCAAACACAAGGCTATTCTGAGTGGACGGCATGGGAGATCGTTCAGTTGTTGTGAGAGCTAATAGCTCGTAGCGTTCCCTAAGCCTTGGGGTCGCCATCTAGATGCGCGGAAAGGGTCCGCTAGTATCACCGGCGCCAAGCCGAAAAGAGCAGAAGATGGGGTAGTGCGGTACTCAAGTTCACAAAAAACCTATAGCATCCGATAAATGGTCTGCGATGGGCTGTAAGTGGCCGAACTTTATTTGCGAGGGGCAAAGAAATACTGAACATTTACTTAAACGGATTGCTGGACTCCCAAATCTGACTCTTGACAGTTGTCTTGTCATCTGGTATCCGAACATCTTCTCAGAGTGCCCAGATCATAACAGAATTTCATCATGGGTATATACAACAAGCTTGCAGACGACATTAATGAGGTAGATGTCATCATCGCTGGAGGTATGTCTGAAATATTCACCCTCATCGAATCCCCCACTGACATCTTTGTGTAGGCGGTACAGCGGGTTGTATCATAGCCGGTCGACTTGCTGAAGATGACCCCTCCCTCTCTATTCTTGTAATCGAAGGGGGCGCGAACAACAAAGATGTCGCCAGCGTTGTCAACCCCGTTTTCTACCTGCAGAACCTACTGCCTGCCACCAAGACCGCTCTCTTCTACAAAGGAAACAAGTCGAAGCAGCTAGCCGATCGTGAACCCATTGTACCTTGCGGTGGTACCTTGGGCGGAGGCAGTTCAATCAATTTCATGATGTACACACGAGCACAAAGATCGGACTTCGATAGCTGGAACACACCTGGCTGGTCAGCTGAGGAGATGTGGCCACACCTAAAGAAGCTAGAGACCTACCATGGACCCGGAGCGAAAGAGCACCACGGCCACAGCGGACCAATCCATGTCTCAGACGGAGGTTATCGCGCAAAGGCTGCTGAAGACGACTTCATAAGCGCAGCTGAGAAGGTCGGCTACCCTGAGATCGAAGACTTGCAGAACCTAGACGACAACAACGGTATTGCGCGATGGCAACGCTACGTGTCACCAGAGGGTAAACGCCAAGATACCGCACACACATACCTCCACCCGAAGCTCGAAGATGAGCGGTATTCCAACCTTCACGTTCTCGTCGAATCGAAGGTGGTGCGCGTACTGTTCGACGAGAACAAGCGTGCCACTGGTGTCGAATACACACCGAATCCAGAGTTCCAAGCTGAAATCGGTTTGAGTATGCATCCTGTGAAGGCTGTGAAGGCTCGCAAGTTGGTCGTCGTTACATCCGGTGCTTGCGGTACACCGCCCATTCTCGAACGTTCGGGCCTGGGCTCCAAGGAGATACTCGAACGTGCCGGTGTACCTCTTGTGGAAGAGTTACCTGGTGTAGGAAAGGACTACCAAGACCACCACCTCCTTCTCTACCCCTACAAGACTGCCCTAGCGCCCGACCAAACCATCGATGGCATCCTCAGCGGACGTGCCGACGTTGCCGAGATGATGAAGAACAAAGACCCTATGCTAGGCTGGAACGGCATCGATATATCCTCCAAGCTTCGCCCTACTGAAGAAGAAGTCACTCCTCTCGGACCAGAGTTCCAAGAAGCATGGAACCGCGACTTCAAGGACGCGCCAAACCGTCCGCTGATGCTGTGTGGTCTGGTGTCTTGCTTCTTGGGCGACCCAGCAAGCATCCCTGCGGGCCAGTACGTCACAGCAGGTAACTACACCGCGTACCCATACTCGCGCGGACATATGCACATCACCGGTC